AATCATGGTCATCTAATGGATTTGGATGGTAATAAGCTATTTGATGGACACTTGATAGGTTTGTGTCCACCTGGACTTAACCCCCATATCCGAATCCAACTAGGACCCTATAAGGTCAGGTCTTAGTCAAGGATGTGGACCCAAACCCAACCCGACCCATTAACACCATGAATGTATTGAGAGAGAGAGAAAGAGGAAATAATCTTTTCTCTTTTTTGGTTGAGATCTTTTCTGATGGCATTAATGTAGAATATTTGGATATAAAGTAATAGAAAGGACCTCTAAAGGTTCAGTACAGATAAACTAAGATGCAATGTTTTAGCAGTGGCAGCTGAATGGGCTTCTAACCATGAAACTGTAGTCTTAAAGGAGCAAATCATTAACAATTTTAACGAACTGGCCAAGCTGAGAGTTTATGTTAAAAACATAGTGGCTACTTATTGGATTAAACTCAGTTGGCCACTTTCGATGGCCTAAAAATAGTAGAAGGGGATTATGCTAATGTGATTGCTTGGAGCATGTAATTCCGCATAGAGATTTACTCTTATTTTGGATGAAATAAGTGGTATTATTTTCAAAGATAACACATTACTCTCTCACTGCTCTAGGGAGGTGAGCAAGAAAGTAGATGTTTTGGCCAAAGGTGGGGCTCACATAGATTTCTTGATGGCTATGATATTTTCTTATAGTAGTCATCCTTTCTCGATTGAGGTCATCATCATCAAAGCCTTTTTCTAAATATTTGGGATTGCTACTTGAATTCTAGTACACCATTATGTTTTATCAAGGGACATACTCTTAGTGAGCCTATAAGTCTCTATATATTTTCTCACTACCTTCAACCATATCTTTTTGGGCCTACCTTTTACCTTTTTTTAGCTTTCCACTTGAACCAACTCGCACATCTTAACAGGAGTCAGACTGCATATGGCTAACCCACTTAAGTCTATTTTCTCTCGTCTTATCACCTATTGAGCTCACTTCTATTGAATGTATTCATTTCAAAGTATATCCCTTCTTTTCTTGTCACTCATCCATCTCAACATCTGCATCCATACAACACGGGTATGTTGTTCTTTTATTATCCAACATTCTGCCTCATAAAGGAAAGATGACATGACAGCTCTCCAATAAAACCTCACATTAAGCTCCATTGGTATACAGCGATCACATAAAACTCCAGTTGTACATCTCCACTTTGTCCATCCAGCATTAATTCTATGGACAACATCTTTCTCAATTTCTCTATTTTTCTGGGTTATCAACTCAAGAAATAAAAAATACTTTCTTTTTTGCATTTCTTGGCCTTCAATTTTAACTACTTTCTCATCTCTACTTCTATTTTTACTAAACTTGCATTTCACATATTTTGTCTTAGTATGTCTAATTTTAAAACCTTTATATTTTAGTGCATCCTTTCAAAGTTCTAACTTTGTGTTTACGCCAATTTGGGTCTCATCATTCAAAACTATATCGTTCGCAAAAGCTACACCATGGTACCTCATATTGTAAGTTCCTAGTTCAGTCATCCATAACAAAGAGAAAGAGGTATGGACAAACAGTGACCACCCTAATGTAGACATATTATCATTGGAAACTCACTTGTTTCTCAACTAGTTATTTGCAAATTAGTTAGCACTTCCTCATACATGTATCGCACAAAGTCAATATAGTATCAGACATCTCCTTTCTTTTGTAATATCTATCAAATTAAATCTCGAAGTATTCTATCACAAGCTTTCTCTAGATTAATAAAGACTGTGTGGATGTCTTTTTCTTTCACCCTAAACTTCTTAATCAATTCCATATGTAAGAAAATAGCCTCAAATGTTGATCTCCCAGGCATAAAACCAAATTGATTTTGTGATACAATTATTCATGCTTTAGTCGTTGTTCAATCACTGTCTTCCGTAACTTCATAATGTAGCTCATGAGTTTTATCCCTTGATAGTTCGCACAATTTTATATGTCTCATTTGTTCTGATAAATAGGTACTGCAATATTTTCTCTCCATTCATTTGATATTTTCTTTATTCTCAACACCTTGTTGAACAATTTAGTCAGCCAGTCAATGCCGATCTCGCCCATGCACTTCAAAACCTCTATCAGGATATCATTTAGTCCTAAAGTCTTTCTTATATTCATCATCTTCACATATTCTTTCTCTTTTGATATCATAATCCTACGAATGTAGCTGTGACCTCCACCCTCATTTATGCCAACGGTTCCTTTTACCATTGAGTTCTTATTGTGTTCGTCATTTAATAATTTTTTAAACTAAGCTATCAACCTTTTGTTGGCCTCTTAACTTTCCCGATTGAGGTAATTCCAATAAATTGGAAGCCCTAGAAATTGTAGGCAACTAAGTTAGATCCCTTCTTGGACCGTCCCAAACCGAAACCCTAAGGTTTGCCTCACTGAAAAACCACTTTCCGAGCCTAATCTATACATGGGATCATATTACTATAGTACACCCGAGAGCGCCTAGTTCCATACACTACACCCCATTAAACCAAGTCTAAACCCTAATTAAACTAACTTAGCTACCTCATTTAAAGCTCAATTAAACTAATTCAACTCCTTAGTTCATCTTTAAACTTTCTCAAACAAGCCTAATACCCCATTAGACCTTCCTAATTAAGCCTAAGACCCTTTTAAACCTAGCAAATAGGACCCAACCTACTAAAATAGGCTTAGGGTTATCCTAACACATTCTAAAACAATCATAAACCTAGGCCAAACCCTAAGCAACCTTTGACCCTACACAAACCCTAATTTTGACACATTTCCATTTTATTAATTCCCACCTTAAAAGTCATTTACCCCTAAAAGAGCCCCAAAACTCCCTTAGTAACCATTAGGAATGTTCCGACATACATATAACGACAGGTGGCAGGAAATCGCTGCAATCAGGGCCCACAAAACTGTACAAGTAGATCTTGTACGTACGCGTGCTAACTCAAACCGATGCTAATTCAGTTAATTATAGAATGATCAATGGTCCAAATTTTCCTACCACTTTTTGGAGACGTAGGATAGGACCTTTGCCTATAAATAGGGCACTTTCCCTTTAGCTCAACTCCAAATCTAAATAAGGCCACCGACTCGGAATGCTAGGCTTATGGGCTTGGCATATAAGTAGGTTCACTTTATATGTCCCTTATTTTGTTTCATTCGCATGCTTAGCTTAGTTCATCTTAGGTTCTCTTTTTAAGATCATATTTTAAAGGGAAAAGTTCACATAGAACCGAGGCTCTAAATAATCAAATTTGACCCTACCTCAAAACTTTCACCTCAAAATTTTCACTAGAAGAGGTTCAAATATCTTCAAATTGATCATCTCGACATATTGATGCATGGACATAAGAAAAAAATGGGTTTCAAGTTTTGGAAATAGTATATTTTATAACTCATTTTTGGACCGTCAATTTTCAAGATTTTTAAGTTTTCATAGATCTATCGATTTACATTATTTTAAAACCTTTAAACTTTATAAATAGATATGAAAATGCTATCCCAAAAATTTTTAATATTGAAACCGTATTTCTAGACACTATCTCAAAGTATGCTCTAAGTGGATTGTTTAGAGCCTAGGCTCTATACAAACTGCACCCTATTCTAAATATCATCCCCGTTTTGCTCGAAGGCCTCTCAAAAACCTCCTTCTAGCGGATATTGGTGGTGTCACCTTACAAGCCCGTACAGCCTTGGTCCACGAGAGGACAGTTTTCACTAAACTCTTTTGTGGACCATAATTCAACGGAGCTCTCAACGATCGAAACTCTTGACATGATGGTCAAAGCATCCTCACCTCGGGCTTTCAGCTGTAAAAACTCATGCATATAACATGTAACTATCTTTCTAGTTCAAGGAACTGACTCCTCCACTAGTTCGGTGGAAACTTTAACCGTTAAGTGTATATTGCCATAAAACCACACTTGACTAAAAAATCTTTAAAGGGTCATGTTATGGTAATCATGTTATGAAGTAATTTATAATTATATTTAATTATTTTAAACATTTATATATTCTTGTTATATATAAGAAGTATTTTTTAAGTAAAGACATTTTAAATATTTAAAAGGATGTAATATCATACTCATATGGATGATATCATATCTTTCTTAACAATAAAAAATATTCATATAAAAAAAAAATGATTTTATAGGATCTTCTCCCATCATATATGTAGGACTTTAAAATATTATCATTAAATTTGATATGGATTTATAGAAAGTCAAATCTCATATCTGTACCAATTTTAATAATGATCCTTTCAAGTCTCAAACATAGGAAGATAAAATTCGATGAGGTCATTACTAACAAAAAAAAAAAAAATCTCCGTTACATATATAAACAGTATAAAATTATTAAATACAATGATAAATTAATTTACAATTTCAACAACGTACTGCATCCCATCTTTAAAAACAAACGGTCCCATTTCTAAAAACAAACGGTCGCTGGTTCAGAATTTTTAAAACAAAGCCAAGTGAGGATAAATAATCTCGTCTTTTTCAAAGACGTCAGTCAGAGAGACAACGGTCAATAAAACTCGTACTACTCCGATTTCCGTGCCATTGCTCTTGGCCTTCAAAAACTCCTCCATGTATAAAATTACGTAAATGTGCCTATTCGTCATTTACGCAACCAAACACAACTTTAGCCTCTAAAAACCCTAAATTATGGACTATAATCCAAACTTTGGAGCTCCACACAAGGATAAAAACGCCATTTTAAATAAGCTACACGGTACTTTTCGTCATTTGTCAGGGCCCCTTAAATTGAAGGCACAATGCAATATAACACGTGGCCGATCTACATCGATAATGTAAAGTGCTAATTTCGTAATTATGTTTAAATATAGGGTATTTGTATGTATTTCTATTCAAATTACATAAAAAATATTCAAAGATTTTCCCTCTATCGCTCATGCGCGAGACCCTCTCCATCCGTAGTGCACATGATATGATATCATCACAATCAGCGCCTTTTTTTTCTCTTTTTTTGCCTTTCTTTTCTTCCTGCATTTAGAGAGAGAAACAGCGTTTTCTTTTTCCTGTATTTAGAGAGAGAAACACAGAGTAGAGAGAGTTCACTGCGTAAGAGTTGGGGTCTTTTGGTTTTCCAAGGTTGTTCAAGACCCATTTATTAGAGCATTGAGAAGAGTTTGCATTTTTTACTAGAGTTGCATTTTGCGAGAGAACCCATTTGCGGTTTCTGCAATTTTTATGGAAGAAACCCTAGGAACTATCAGTGAGAGAAATTTGGGTGTTGCCATTGAGGAGTCTCAACCTTCTGATGAAGTAAAAGAAGAAGCGTTGAGTGGGAATTTGGGGAAAAAGGAGGTAAAAGAAGAAGCATTGAGAGAGAATTTGGGGGAAAATAAAGCAGAGATTGACACTGCAGCTCCTTTTGAGTCTGTGAAGGAGGCGGTGAGTAGGTTTGGTGGTAGTGGCGCTTGGAAACCAAAGGGTCCCATTAATGTTGAGGTGAGTTCTGAGCATTTCATCTTTACTTTTTTTCCATCATTTCATCTTTACTGTTTTACCATTTCTGTGTCTTTCTTCTTCTTCTTCTTTTTTCTTCAGTTCCATTGCCCCATATGTGTAGTTGGTGTGTGAAAAATTGAGAACTAGTTTGTATTCTCTCTCTCTCTCTCTCATCTGGGTGTCTCTTTTTTGTTTAAAATATTATATGATTACTTTTTTCAGATGGACTTTTCGGTAGATTTTTGCATATTTGGACTTCTCTCTCTGTGTAATGTTTCCAACTCTGATTTTCCATTTTTTTGTTGTGTTTCTACTCTAATGGCTAATACTAGAATAAATGCTGAAACAAGTTCTGAGAAGTAGAAATAACAAAATTTAAAAGTTTGGAATTTGCAGAGCATATACAGACAATTCAATGGGGTTCTCAACCAATGCAACAAACTAATGTTCCAATAGGCCTGTATCTATCTTATGTTCTTAACAATATAACCACACACTAAGTTTGTACGGAACTCTCCTGTTGCAAACTCGAACTAATGATTTGGTTACCCAACCAACATAGTAGAAACCCACTGTAGGAGCATTGAGATTGAAAGCTGACTCCAAACTTGTGGTGGGCTCAACACAGGATTCTGTGATCGTTTACTGGAAATACCGCACTTTAGTTCACAATTGTATTTTGGTTACTTCGAGATTACTAGTAAAACTCTGAACACAGCAGATTTATTGGCAAAAATGGAGCTATGGCTTCAGCTGCCACAGTTTTGTGAACAAGACCACTGGATTTTATTTCTTTTGTTTTGCTTTATGTCTCAAATGTTCCTCATCAAAGGATCTCCCTTGGTACTTGATGTATCTTGTTTTTTATATCGATAAAAGCGTAGGGGACGAATTCTCCCAATCTGATCTGACAACCCCCCAACCCCTCCGGGGCACCCAAAAAAAAAAATTCTATTATCAGAATAGCCTAGATAATAAAAATGTCGGAATACATTCCATTGTCCAGCTTTCAAAACAAAATCTATCAAAGAACTATAGCTTTCTGTTATTACTATCAAATGACCCTGTATGGCAGGTTTTTACTGGCTAGTTGCCATTCTTGCTGAGAGATAAATTTGGAACATCAGATACAAGAACCCATCTTTTGCAGAAGTCATGGTCGCAAAGACGGATCAGCCGCCAAAATCAGGTCCTGGGTGACCCAAGTGACTCATGCGAGTCCAAGTCGAGTCACCCGAATCTGCACCAAGCTGTCCAAAGAGCAAAAAAGAAAAACTAAAGAATTGGGAAAATCCTGAAAAATAGTAAAAATAGGAAAAAAAAATGATAAACAACATAAAAGAATTTAAAAGATGAGTAAAAAATTTTCAAAAAAATTAAAAAAATGGTTAAAGATCAATATCTCAAAAAAATGAGAAAAATAGAAAAAATATTAAAAACCATAAAATCATAAAAGGTATCTGTATAATTAATTATGAATCAATTATAACTGATTTAGTCAAAGATTAAATCAATTATGACTCGATTATAGATATCCCTAAGTTGGAGGTATTCCGGGATAGGCAGGAGTGACTAGGGCCAATCTGAGTTGACTCATCCGAGTTGGCAAACACTGCTGGAAGCTTTTTCTATACATTATCTTTTGTTCCTAGTTTTTCATAGATTTAGATTGTTCATTAGATGTAATTCCTCTATTGTTACAGCTGTTGTGTGACAGTTTAGACTTATGACAGCCATTTTGCATTTTGTGGTTGCCGTGCATTTTGCAAAACCATGATGAAGAATACCATGCATTTAGCTTATGCTGGTGGTGCCGTTATTCTGTCCATGATGTGCCCATTAGATAATTATTGTCTAGTCTTAAGAGGTACATTAGCATTCCATTCTAACATGCATTTGGCTTATTGGCATTTTCTTTGATATTGTAAAGGGGTGATGGTCTTCATCATATTCTTGCCCTTCATGAGATCTTCACTGACAATAAACAGAAAAGATCTTGTGGTATTTGTGAAATTGTTGTTTCTTTGCAGTGTTTATTATTTATCCAACTTTATTACTGAGCTTGTTTTCATTAAGTGATTACTTGATAATTATTATGTTAATCTTATTCTTCATGGAGTTTGTTATATTTAGGATTTCACAACATGCCAGCTGGTTATGACAGGCCATTATAGTGGTGAACTCTTATTTCTGGTTCACTGCTTGGCACCATTTCCTATATGGACAACCAGATCACTGGTTGTCAGTTTTTTACATAAGTATTCAATCCTAGCAAATGTAGCATAGGAGACTTGATTATCTCAAACTTTGATAGGCTTCATCCTTTGAAATCTTCACATTACTTCTTTCACATCTTCTATCTCTTCCAAAATTTGCAATTTTTAAATTGTCAAACAAATCAAGTCTTTCATTTGTTTCCATGAGAGTACACGCATTATTTTTATTATAAAAAGAAAAAGACAGTTTCTATACTTTATGATATTGTTTATTCTGGTCCCTGTAAATCTTACTCTTTTTGTCTACAAGTGCTTTCTTTGTATTTTGTACTTTGTTCGAAATGCTATACAGAGACAAATATATGCGCAATGCATATTAAAGTATCATTTTTGAACTTCCAAGGAACCCGATTGCTATGAATATTTAGTTAGCTGGTTTGCTGTTTTCATTCATATTTCTGGAGTGATTAGAAAATTTTATCTACAAAATTTTATCTACTTGAGTTTACTATCATTATTTGTTCCTTTTTCTAAAATGCAATTGTTTCCTGTTAAGAAGCCACCTAGCTTCTTAGAGAGAGCGTTGAAAAAAGCAGAAGAAGAGACTGCACAATTAGAAAAGCATCTGATCACCAAGGAACGGGAGACTCTCGATGTTCTGAAAGAGCTGGAAACAACAAAAAGGATTATGGAAGAATTAAAACTAAAGTTACAGAAAGAAGCATCTGAGGAAAGTACTGAAAGTGGTAAGAAGCGGATGGAGCCTGACACTGAAAAACATGCGGACATTGCAGAAAGAGATAACAGCCCCAGTAATTGTGATGCCGTTGTAGAATCAGTACTTCTATCTCCAAGCACAATCTTGGTGGAATTAAAGCAGGCAAAGGTGAACCTGAGTAAAGCAACTGATGATTTAGCAGGGATTCGAGCCTCAGTAGACTCCCTTAATGAAAAAGTAGAGAGAGAAAAACTCTCTTTAGAAAAAACACGGGCTAGACTGGCGTCAAACTCTGCGAAGATTGTGTCTTTGGAAGACGAACTAAACCAAACCAAAAAGAAACTCCAGTCAGCAAAGACTAAGGATGCAAGTTGTGAAGACATGTCCGATGCTTTGAAGGCCTTGCAACTATTGAATTCAGAGGCTGATCAGTTCAGAAAAATGGCTGAAGCAGCTAAAGCTGATGTGTCAAGATCAATGGCTGAGATCGAGCAAACAAGATCCAGTATTAAAATTGCTGAGATAAGGTGGCATGCTGCTAAGAAAATGGAAGAAGCAGCTCGGGCCTCAGAGGCTGTGGCCCTTGCTGAGATCAAAACGTTAACAAAGAGTGAAAATCACCAAGTGGGTCCATCTCAAATCACACTTTCCTTTGAGGAGTATGTTTCACTAAGAGCCAAGGTCAAAGAGGCAGAAGAGCTTGCCAAAAAAAGGGTTGAAGCTGCAATGGTTCGAGTAGATGAAGCTAATTCCTCAAGAATGGAGGTGTTAAAGAAGATTGAGGAAGCAACGAAGGAAGTGAGAGAAAGTAGGGAATCGTTAAAAGAAGCTCTCAACAAAGTAGAGGCTGCAAATAATGGAAAACTCTGTGTTGAAGAAGCTCTGCGACAATGGAGAGCAGAGCATGGCCAGCACAGACGCACAACAGCTCATAACTCATCAAAGTTCAAGAATTCTTGCCCCTCTCAAGGCCGCCACTCTAGAAGGAATTCTAGATTGTTAGATGTTAATGGGGTGAGCTTAGTTAGCGATACATCAGAGCATAAGTTTACACCCACTTTATCTATTGGGCAAATATTGAGTCGGAAGCTTCTTTCACCTGAAGATTTTGAAGTTGGAATGAGGCCAAAGAACCCATCAAGGCCGAAGGTTTCATTACGTCAAATGTTGAGCAAAAAAGGTGTTTTGTCCCCTCAAAGATATGAACAAGAAGTGGCTTCTTCCAAGAAGTTCTCTGCGAAGAGGAAGAAATTCAGCCTTACGCGTATCTCACTTCTCTTGGCCAAGAAAAAGAAGCAAGCTAGGAGGTCATGATGAAGTTAGAAGGTTTGCACCTTCATCAAATTGTTCTTTCTGTTATGTTTACATCCAAAAGATTTTAGCTTATTTGATTTTATGGAATTATTTGTAGTGCATAACATGCATGATTAAATGATGAGGAAGTACATAAATAAATGGCCAATACATGCATGTATATGTGTTTATATGTGGTTACACGCGCGTATGCACATGTATGCATCATGCTTTAACCGTGCCCAAGTTTGCTTCGCTGTTATTTCTGAATTTTTTTACCTGGATTTCATTTGGGTTGTACCAGAACAGTAATACTCATTTTTCTTTGTTCTCTTTCCTTTTTTAGTTGCAGATATGGTTGTTCTCCAAGGACCAGGAAAGGATGATGTCCCTCTGTAACATGTTTGTTGTCTGGTGGCAAAATGGCTTGCCCTGCTTCTAGGGTTTTGTTTCTTGTGGTTTTCTTACCCTCTGAGGATCTGGTATGGGTTTCCTTTGTGGTGAAGTTTGGACTGCATCTGCAGTCGCTTGTGGTGTGTTGTTAAGTTTGTTGTGTAGTATTGTCAAAAACAAAAACCCATAATGTTACTTCAGAATTAGAATAAGTGATTTATGAGGAATCTGAAGATTTCTTATACCCATTTGAATGAGAATTTATATGCATTTGGAAAAGGGAAAGGTTTCTATGCTTCTCTTACCGCATAGAAGTACTATCCTCCCCCTACTATCCACCCGTCCAATTTTGATCAAGAGAGCCACTCATTATTTGATTTTAGATCCGACGTTTTGAAGTAGTTTATTTTTTGTTTTTTTATACAAATTGTATGAATATGAAATTTGGTAATTGTCATCTTCTCATTGGGGTGCACCTATAAAAAATATTTTTTTAATAAAATATAATTTGAGATGTTTGAACTTAGTTGTGGTTTACATGAGAGAGAGTGAGGAGTTTAGGGGAGGCTTTGAAAGAGAGGGAGGAAGAAGTTCATGGATGAGGAAGAGGGGTAGTTTTTCTAGGATTTGGATGGGAAAAAAGATGAGTCATTGATTCTTTAATTCGGACAATAAAAAATGTAGGGAAAATATATTTTTATCCTCTATTTTTAACTAATGATATTCAAAAATTGAAAATATTATTTAGAAGCAAAAGGTCTTTATTATTTCTATCTTACAATCCTTGAGACTGTTTTTTACCAAAAATTTTTGACCCAAACAAATATTAAAATAACACTCTATTTAAATTTCATCTCTCTCTAAAACTCTATCTCTTTCTTCGTTTTTCGATGAGTTTACCGGTCAAGAGGTTTAGCTTGAGTTCGAACACGAGCATGCATTCTTATATGTGTGAGAAAGATGGAGTTTGGGTTTTAGAGAGAGATGGAGTTTTTTTATATGAGAGATGGCGTTGGGTTTTAAAGAGAGAGAGAGTTTTTTAGAGAAACAGAGTCATTTCAGTTCTTAAGTGTGATGAGATATAGAAGTTAAAAGTAGAGGATAATAAGATATTTTTTCAAAAACATATAAAAAAGGTTAAATATCATTTTCTTTTAACTTAAAGGGTGTGCATACCTTTCTACAAATCCGAGTATATTTGGCATTATAACCACACAAAGAGAGGGGCATGTCTTTTTTTAACTTTGTTATTTATACTCAAGGGATGGATAGGATCCCACCAATTTCATGCTAAGCGAGGTTAGTGAAGAGTAGAAATTACTTGCGGTGTTGGAGCAGTCAGGGTGGTGGTTGGGGGATCAATGGCACCAAGGGGGAATGGGAGCAATTCTGAAGTTCCTCGAATCAAAATCACCCCTTCCAATCCAGATTTCCAACTAGAACTAAACACTCTAGATCCAGGTGCCACAGGAGGATCAACGATTTTTCAAACACTACTGAAAATGAAAATAAAAAATCGTGTCAAATTGAAATATGCCCATTTACAATTTCAATTAAATTTGGCCCAGAAACCACAAGGTGCATTAATCAAAGGAGAAAAGAAATTATAAACCCATAGAATTCGGCTTGATTGATCAGGGTGCTTAAAATTGCGGTATTACATATCAAAAATATTTTGATATTTATCTTGAATTCTTTAATCTCTAATAGTAAGGGGTTGTTTTCTTTTAGTATAGGTTGTATTTTTAGATAATTCTTATTATATAAAATGTTATTTTATGGATAAATACTAATTAGATTAGGATGGGGTTTAAGCACACATGGATGGAAATAAAGTTATATTTTGACAAAGATTAAGAAAAATAGGAAAGCCTTATGCACCAATTTTGGGGGTTTTGTTTTTCTTATGTAATGGGTTATTTTAGAGAGAGAAATTTCTAGAAAATTAGAGGGAAACTTTTATAGGAGATTTTTAGAGAGAAAAAATTGTAGAGAAGAAGGCTTGGTGGGAGATTGAGTGAAGTAAGTTGGCTTGTAATTTCTTTTATTTGATTTAGTGGCTCTCAAGTAAGTTGGACTTGTAATTTTTTTTATTTGATTTAGTGGAAAATATGATTAAACATCGATTGTCTTCGCCCCCTTCTGTGATTTAATGGAAAACACTTATATTTTTTTGTATTTGATTTAGTAAAAAATATGATTTAGTGGAAAACATCCATCATCTTCGCCGTTTCTTTGATTCAGTGAAAAACATCAATCGTCTTCGCCTGTGGTGACGAACCACATAAATCCTGATGTTCTTTGTTATGTTATTTCTTTCATGTTTTATTTTTGTCGCTTACTGCTTATTGCTTGTTTTTTTCAGTTCTTTTTTCTCGTACTTTATTTGCCAAAAAATTCCCTATCGGGTTTAGAGCTTTCGCACGGAACAGAATAGTAACCAAATTCATTGATCATTAAAAGCTTTCACATGCAACATAATAGTAACTAAATTCATTGACCATTAAAAAAAATGTTGATCTACAAAGATTCTATTTGTCTTTTGTATATGGAATTCACAATTATTCTCACTCATTAGATTTCAAATTGGATGGCTTAAGGTGAATCAAGAAGTCTTAATTTTTTTTTTTTTTGGAATTTTGTATCTTTTCAATAATACTATTAAGATCACCTATTTTAAAATTTAAAGGACAATGATTATGACAAAAAAATAAATAGTCTCTTTATAGACAATCCCTTGATAATGAGCAAGGGTTTTTGTTCTATGATCTAAATATCATGCTCAGTATGAAAAAGGAGAGTACATCTCTATTTATTGCCAAAATACATCTTTTGAATGAGGGAGTAGATGTGCAGTATACCCCTGTGGGGCCGTAGCATGCGTCGTCTAGCTTATTTACCCACATAAGCGGATTTGTGTTTTTTCAAGAAGGGTATACGAAAAGTATACCGTCCATGGGCGAAAATTAGTTTCGTATTTAATTTTTATTTTTATTTAAATAAAATATTTTGGAGGTATATTTATTTTTGGTGCGTAGGTTCATTTTATAAAAACATATAACAAAATAAGTATGAACAAAAAATATATTAAATAAAAATTTATTAAAATCCTCTAAGTTTATTGTGATCAATATTTTTTTATTACTTCTATTCAATCTCACTTATGACAGTGAACCTAAAACCAAAATTTGAGATTAATATTATTTTTAAATAAAAAAGTACAAATAAAAAAAATGATTCATTATTAACCCTTGGATGGGCAAGATTGAATCTAAACCATTAAAAAGGTACCTGTGCACCTTTTGAGCGTCCACATGCTGTGGACGAAACACCAACAATAATTTGGGCACAAGGGTATTTTTCTAATTTGCTATGTACTCAGGGGTATTTGTTGTGGCCCAGATCCTTGTGGCGTGTAAAACTCTCCAAATTATTTGCCCTCGTTTCCATAAAGTCAACTAATCCGCACATCCGTCATTTGCCGGGTGCTTTCTCTCTTTTCTCATTCTTTCTCTTTCCTTTTTCCTTTCTCTCCTGGTGAGTTCTCTCTTCTCTCTCTGTTATTTACTTGAAATACGATGGTATTAATTCCTTGTAATCGATTTTGTTATTTATAGTGCATGGTGAATCTTAGAAGTTTGAACACTGGATTTGCTGTTCGGTAATATGTGGGGGTGTTTATTAAACCTAGAATTCAAATTGAGCTACCAAGTATTTAAGTGAATTTATCTGTTTTGTGTCATTGTTTTTCATAATATGGAGCCTCTTATGTCAATCTTTTTGGGGAAAATTGTTGTTGCGTTGAAACAATTTCTTTGATTTAGTTGAATCTGGTATTTTGTTTATGGTAGCTCAGGGTTCAAATTTGGAAGATTCTTTTTGCAATCCTCTACGTAAACCAATGTAGCCCAAGCCAGACTCCTGATTATCTAGTTTTTATTAGAATCAGTGTTTAGAAGAGGCGGCCGAGTCCCGGTCAAGTCCTGTAGCCAAATGGCCCTAGAAAATTTAGAAAAATATATAAAAATTATAAAAAAGATGAAATAAAGGTACTAAAAGTAGAATATAACCAAAAGAAACCTTAAAAAAATTCAAATATACCAAAAAAAAGAAAATATATTTGTAGTTTGGTACATCTAAAAAAAATTTTAAAAAAAAGAAAATATAAAAATACGGATTATGACAAAAAAACACTCACCAATCTATGCCAAAAACATCCAAATCATCATATACAAAAAACTTATACAACATACCCATATTTTTTACAATTTCTTTGGATTTTATTTATTTATTATTTATTTTGTACACACAACTTGGGGTAACTAGGCCTCACCCATAGGACAAGGCCAAGCTACTTGCCCAACTTCGAGTGGACTCAACACTCGTTACAACCATACATCCCGAGTTCAAATCCTACAACTGAACCATCCAAGAGAAGTTTTAAACATGAATTGGAGATAGATGTCCTTTTTGGTAATAGCTAAGGAGCCTTAGCATGTCGGTTGGTCGAACTTCTTGTCTTTGATTATAATCCTGGATCATAGCAATGTTGGTTTTTATTTTCTTTTTTATATTGAGAAACAAGAATGCAAATGTTCATCTATCCAATACACCTTTTTGGTCCTTCATCGTCAAGACACATGTAATCTCATGAATTGGTACTGACAGTTCAGTACTAGGCCTGCATTAATTTGTCCTTTAAATGTGGGATCTGGGTTTGTGCTTATGTGTCTCCATTCCATTTTCGAATGACTCTTTAGACAAGACAAAAAAACATGGATCAAGTTCTCTTGTATCTTTTCTTTCCTTTATGTTACAATTTTTTGTTGGCTTGGCATGCATATCTTTTTCAGTTGTAAAATGATTTTTTAATGGATACTAAACGCTACTAGTTGCGTAATAGCTTTTTGTTCTCTAATTAAGGGTATTCTTAGGAAGATGGTTAAATTTCCTTTTCTTATTTTTATTACAGGCCAAATGGGTGTGGGAACAAGGTTTTTGTTTCTTCTTCTGTTGACTATCATCTGGACCAATGTGGATGCTAGAAATTATTTGATCCATAAGGATCTTGGTGAGTGTTTACAATGATTTTGTACCAATTAAAGTAACCATATACTGGATTTGTATTCTCTTTTCGTGGATCCAATGTAACAACAAGATGTCAATTTTTAATGTTCTGTTCATATATGTATGAATATATCTGAACATATATGCTTTATATTCCTTTTAAGCTAGCAGTTATTTTTCGCATCTATGGTCGACTCACAAGATATGCTTGGGATGTTACTTTCTTATATCTATTGCAATCTATGGCCACTTCAATTGGGTAGAAAATATGGCTTGAATGAACATATTGGAATTTTATTTAAAGATGATTTTTCCATTCCTTGTTTACCAGAAACTCTTAGGAAGTGATGGAGCTGTAGTGAACGATGATTTTCCATTAGAAATCTACTTGGTAGCATCGGTTTCAGGGGCATTATCGTTGCATAGACATCCACGTTTGTGCTTATGTAGCTCATCTCCTTTCAATCAGTGGAATATTCTTAGCATAGTGATGATTTTCTTTTTTATAGCTTGTGGCTCTATATGAAATTCAGAAAGTTTCGATGCTAATGAGAATTCACTTATTGATGATAGAGCTATGTCTTATGCAAACCATCTTTCCACCACTGATCAAAAGTTTCCCTTGCCTGGGATAGTTTTCTTCTTGAAGCTCTTATGTAGTCCTGCTCTATCCTTAGTTCTCTGTGTCACTTCATTAAGAATGTTTTAGTATTTTTCAGCTCTCTATTTGTATGAAAATATTTGAAATTGCCAGATCTTCCTCAATAAAATAAACTTCTTGTTTAGACTTGGGAGTTAGTTACCTCTTCAATAATTAATGGTTAAGAATTCAAGTGTGCCAACAGCCTAAGAGTCATAGCTGGTTTGTACCTATAGTGCAAGTGGTGGAGGGATTTTGGAGACAATAATTTCCCACTTTCGGATGGTTAAGTTGTGTTTAATTCAATCTGGAAACAAATATCCTTGTAAACCTTGAAATGTTCTCTGTTGTTGTGCTCTTTTCTTCCGTTGAACTTCTTGTTCCTTTTTAGTAGAGAGACACCTTGGTAATTAGCTCGCCTGTACCATGTCCTTGACAACCATACTTAGTTCTAAACCCTCCCTTAATTCATCACCATTTGATATTTTATAGGGTTAAATTATCTCTTATGTTTTTCCTTTTGTTCTGCTACTGTTATGAATTAATGATCATTCATTTCATTTTGTCTCTCTCTGTTATGTTTTTCCTTGTCTTCTGCTATTGTCATGAATTGGAGGTCATTTATTTCACTTTTTGTTTCTGTTGCCTTTCTCTGTTCATTTATTTGGTAAATAAGTTTTATTCATATGGCTGTTTATATTTTATATCACTTCGTTAATGTTCCAATCTTTTTGCGATTACACTAGATTTCTGCTTTCCTTGGATCACACGTGAGCATATTTGAAATTGTATTCCTAATCCAAATGGCTTAAAATTAACAGCATTCCTTTGTGTCTCTAATTCTATGTATGAAAGAACAAGAATCCAGAAGCCAAACTTTTACTCTCATTACAAGGGATGAAAGAGTATGCACATATTGTGAGCAATTTGCTAGTGAAGCATTTGAGTATCTTGGTAATAATCAGACACAAACTGACATTATCAAAACCCTTCATCAAGTCTGTTCCTCTATGTATTCATTCAAACATCAGGTTTGTGTCGCCACCTATATTAATAGTTTTGTTCTCCATATGTATACTGTGTATGTGTATGTGGATGTAGTACACATGTAATGTGTGTGCATTTATGTGTGTATTTATGTATCTTATGATTCTTGTGTGTGTGTGTGTGTCTTGTGGGGGGTTGGGGGGAGAGTAGTATTGATTTTATTGGTTGTGTATTGTGTGTCCGTGTGTGCATTTATGTCTGTGTGTAAGGCGTATTTCGGGTGCACGCACAGTGTGTGTGTGTGTGTGTGAGAGAGAGAGAGAGCTTCAAGGGTTTTTGCTTATGTTTTAATAATTGGATCTTTTGAGCCAGTGCACTTCATTGGTGGACTACTATTTACCGATGATATTCTCTGAGATTGCTATGATTAATCCAGAGGGACTTTGTGCAAAGGTAAATCTATGTAACAGTGAAGCAAATGTTGCACCAAAAGCAAGTTATCTAGATGGTTGTGAATTTTGCCATCGTGCGGTTCTTGAGATACTTATGAAGCTGAAAGATCCTGACACACAGGTATTTTAATACACTGTCATTTTCTCTTGATTCTTATTTATATGGTATTAGTTTTTCATTTGATTTTATTTTTGTTATTCTTCCTTGTTGAAATTATGGCCCATGGCATCGCCTTGTTTGTAGCACTTGGGAAACACCTTTCCCCTCCACTGGTTCGAATGCCTAAAATGAGATGCTCGCTCTCCTCTTCTCATGGTGTCTAAACCCTGATACCTAAATTTCGTGATACCTGTCTCAGGTAGCCTGGAGATCAACAAAATATTGGGGTAGGGTTGGGTTTAAACTCTTTTATCTCCTTTGATGGAACCAGATGCTCCACCACATGAGCTACAAACTTGAGCTAGGCTTGAGTCTCCGAGCCTTTTGGGCTTCCCTTAGTATTATTTCTTTTGGGTAATTTGCCTCTTTGGCTTCCTCTACGCAGACTGAAGAGAAAAGATAATATAGTTTTCTTCTTTCTATCAATCTTTTACCTCTATAGCAATGTTTTAACTAAAATTCTATTTGAAAACAAATCGCCTGTCCAGATTTGCAAGCTGTGTTGGGCTATACCTATCTGGCATTCCGCAATTTCTTGGTTCCTTTCATATTTACTACTCGGTGTAGGCATGCTAATCTGTCAATTTTGTAATGCTTTTCAGCTGGAGATAGTTGAGATCCTTATCAAGGAATGTAAGAAAGCACAAGGCTTTGTTGAAAAGGTGAATGTATTTGGATGCTACTTGTTTGTTTTACTTATGTTGGTGGTTTATTCATCATTAAGCTTTTGAATCTCTCTATTGATGCAGTGCGAGGACCTGGTGTTTGAATATGCTCCCCTTCTGCTGATAAATGCCGAGCAGTTCTTAGAAACAAAAGACATATGTGCAAGTGTCCATGTATGCAAGGCCTTCTGCTACTGAACTCCATGGTGCCGTCGATTCCTTAATTGAGATGCCCTCAGCATGATTGATGGCCTTGTCATCAGGGCCATGTAAAATAACGAAGATTTAGATTTGGGGTGGATGCAATTAAACACCTCCATGACTATGGTAAATTCCCTATAAACGTATTTTGTTATTTGAATGTATATTGGCTGATTTGTGTATCTGAAACCATTGGCTGAGGGATGTGTCCACGAGTGCCTGCCTTTCAATGCTTGTAAAGTTGGTAGAATTAGAGCATTTGGGGTGTTTTTCAAGAAAATTGGTTTGTTTCTCATTGGACCTTATTTATATGTTTCTTGAAGTTAATATAATGTGCATCTTTTATGCCAATTACAGTTTGCATTGGGTTTGTTATAGGTCACCAGAATGTCACAAATAAGTGAACCCAGTGTTGGAAAGTAGGACTCAAGCTGGGCCCGAGCCTGAGTCCCCTTAGACTGACTCTGGTGAATCCTAGTTGGTCTAAACAAATTTTTGATAAGAAAAATTGAAATATTATGAAAAAGTCGGGTGAAGAGTGATTCCTGAGGTTTTTATCATTCGAATCATTTGATCCCCCAATCCCGTCTTGTACTGCCTTGGGTGATTCCGGCTCTGTGAGACACCGATTGAGCTCATGTTCTCTTGCTTAAGGTTTTAATAAGGTTGAACGGCCTTAACATAAACTTTTTGAGTGTTTTCCAAACCCAAAGTAAGTATGGAAATTCCAATTTGCTCATCGCGAAAGCTGACTTAAAATTTAAACTCTCTCTTACTCAAAGCTCAGGAAAAGTAATGGACCAGCACAATGTGGAGGCCAAGACCGGTCACTCCGACCACCTCTGCATAGAGCGTGTTCTCTGCCATCCTTGCAGTCGGGTGCATGTGCATGTATCTCTAAATTTTGTTGAGGGGATTGGGTGTGCTTTTTTCTCTTAATTTTTACCGTTTTGTCGTCGTCGTCACAAAGAAATTGTGGTGCATATGCATTTGTTTTTAAATTTTTATGGGAAAAGGTTATATAAGGCTACAAACTCTTATTACAAAAGTAAGTTGCACCTTAAAAATTTCAATAGAAAAGAGTTTTCCAAAGTTGAAAAAAACCTTACAATTTATCAACTCAACATCGAAATGGGTATAAAGGAAAACAAAATCCAAATCCTAAAAATGGTATATCTTGACAAGTTATGTGGACCGTTTCAAGATTTTCAAGTTATGCGGACCGTTTCAAGATTTTCAAGTGTTAATGAAATATTTCTATACGGTATAATTATTTTCATTTTTATAATTAATATTTTCAGCAGGATTTGGTTTTCTTTTTGAATTTTACCAGTTCAGGCGTGCTATTAATCCCCACATATGTGCGGTTCGTGAGAGAACTTGTTAAGCTTCAAATAAAATTTCGGGAAAATTTCTCCATACATCTTAATTTCGCATTTGATTTTTCCTTGGACCCTCAACTTTGAAATATTTCTAGCGACTTAAACTTTGTTAATCTCATATCTTGGAACCGTTTTTACACGCATAAAAATCATTTTGAGCAATTTAAGTGCCTTAAATATGTCCTATAAAGATGCTTACGTCCATTTCTCTGTCATGCTAAGACTCTGTAGCCCTTAGAGCTCTACACCATACCCCCCAAATCCCCTCTCTCTACCCGTTATCTCTTTCCCAAACCCCCTCTCTCTACCCATTATTTCTCGTCTCTTTCCCAAAGCCTCTCTCTCTACCCATTATCTCTTTCTCTTGGTATTTCTCCAGAGTTAAATGGATGGACATTGCTCTTTTGAACTCTCTCTCTCTCTAAATACACAAATGTGGTGCCTTTGAGCAGTGTCAACGTTATCACTTTCTATCCACCATACACAAATGTGGTGCCTGCCTTTGAGCAGTGACGACCGTAGCACTTTCTCTCCACCATGATTTAGTGTTTGGCACAAATTGCATTCAAGCCTCTCAGTCTATGCTCCTTTCTCACATTGCGTCTATGGAAATAACTACCATTATTTAGTGTTTTGCACAAAAGCACATTCAAGCCTTCTGATACAGATTTTTTGGCATCAAATTCAGCAATTTGGTCCATGTTCCATCAATGTATTCATTATTCAAAGATGATGAGAATCTCTCTCTCTCTCTCTAAAAGTAATTTAACTCTATGATTGCAATGTGAGAAAAGAGCATGGATGCAGGTGTTGTGCAGTATCAGGGCTTTCAAACTTTGACATGAACTCAGCTGCATCACAGAAAGTGTTGAGCTGGTCACAACATATTTTACTAAGATAGAGCGATCACTCTCTCTCTAGGTTCACCACTCAGCATAAAAATCCGAAACACCAACATTATGAATCCCATAACCTTCCCTCTCTAGAATCGACTGGTTGACGCCTTGAAATGATGGATGAGGAGCTCAAGCTTGGATACCTGAAATGTGGATGATTCTCTTTCTAAAATCAATAGGTTTGGGGCTCAAAACCATGTTGCTCAACAAAGCAGGATTTGTTTAGGGCAGAGCTCAAATTGGGTATGGCACATGGGGGGAGAGAGAGTTGGGTTGGGGTAGAGAAAGAGGGGTATGACACAGAGCTCAGATTGGGAGGGAGAGAGAGAGAGAGAGAGGTAGGGGGTTTGGGTAGAGAGAGAGAGAGGAGATATGGGGAAGAGCTCAGATTGAGAGAGAGAGAGAGAGAGTGCATGCGTGAGGCTGCTTTGGGGAAGAGAGATGATGTAGGCGCCCTTACATGATTTGTTCAGGGCAAAATAGTTTCTCAAAATGATTTTAGTGTGGGTAAAAATTGTTTAGGGGGTGCCATTAAAAATGTTTCAAATTTAAGGGTCCACCAGAAATCTCACATCAAATTAAGGTGTATTGTGAAATTTTCCCAATTTTGATGTATGAGAGAACCTTTGAATGCTTTCACAAAAATTACATTTGGAGAGAATATTTGGATTCTTTCACCCAGTTCGAATGTTATGTGCATGCACATCGGTGGATTCTTAAAAACTTTCACCCAATTTGAACGTTAAAGTGCATGCACATGTCATTTTTACGTACGAGTAAAATGCGTATTCTTTAAGTGAAGCTTTTTTTTTATGTAGTATTTGAGTTTATTTTTTCTATAGCAATTGAGAATATTAAGAAGATGAAATACATAAGGAAGAAATGATCTTTTTTTTATATATATAGTTTACTAAATATCGGAGGGGACAGACTAAAAAGTCCAAATTTGGTATTGAAACTTTCCTCAACTTTTCTTCTTAAATATTTAGTTATATTCTAGATATTTTCATTTATATAAACTTCAATATAAGTTTTAAGTGAATGAAACGTTTTTAAACTAGAAAGTTTTTAATGTGTATTTAGAGCAATAAAAAGAATAAAACAATTTAGCTTCTAGTATTTGTTTTGATCAACTTTTCTTTCTAAATATTTAAAACATTTTATTAGTTTAAGACTCCAAAATTCTAGAAATACGCTCGAGGCTCCAAAATTACACGTCAGGAGGTACAATAATTTGGTTGAATTTCATTTAAAGTTAAATGGAAGTATTAAATGGTAAGAATCATTAAAATTCTTGTAATATATATTTAGAACAATAAACCAATGGCTAAAAGCTGGAATT